GGGGGATTTGGAATTCGGGGAATTTGGAATTCGGAGGACTTGGAATTTGGGGGATTTGGAATTCGGGGGATTTGGAATTCGGGGAATTTGGAATTCGGAGGACTTGGAAATTGGGGGATTTGGAATTCGGGGGATTTGGAATTCGGGGGATTTGGAAATTGGGGGTTTTGGAATTTAGAATTCGGGGGATTTGGAAATTGGGGGATTTGGAATTCGGGGAATTTGGAATTCAGGGAATTTGGAATTCGGGGAATTTGGAATTGGGGGATTTGGAATTCGGGGAAATTGAAAATTGGGGGACTTGGAATTCGGGGAAATTGGAATTGAGGGATTTGGAATTCGGGGAAATTGAAAATTGGGGGACCTGGAATTCGGGGAATTTGGAAATTGGGTGACTTGGAATTCGGGGGATTTAGAAATTCGGGACTATAGAAATTCAGCATTGTGAAAATTTATGACCATAAAAATTCAGGACTACAGAAATTCTGAATTGTAAAAATTTAGACCCATAGAAATTCGCAATACCAATCTTGCCTACCAAAGTAAAAAATCCTCCCATGCTTCAACAAATTCTCTCACATCACTCTCCACGTGCCACACCATTCAAACAACAAGTAAACACCCCGCGATATCGCGTGACCGGACTCCATAACACCATATTATTACCTGCATGAAGACGGTGAAGTATATAACCGCAATGGTGGTGGTGACAAACATGGGCTGCAGTGACACGTGCTTGGGGTCGATCAACAGGACCAACGCGAACGCGACAGCTCCTCTCAAACCTCCATAAGACATCACGAACTTCTCCACTTTGTCGAGTTTGTGCAACCGGAACTGATTCGCCACAGCTGTCAGCACGATCACTCCTGAAATTTCGTTTGGATCTCCGATGAACATTCTATCGATCAAATCTTTAATCGTCGCTAACAGTTTAGCGATAAATCGACGGTGGAAGCCGTAAACTCGTGACGGTAAGCCGCGGAGTAAAATGGCAGGTCGTAGAAAAGATCGGCGAATCTTGTTAAGAGTCTTTCGAGATTTTGTTACTTAAAGAAGTAGTCGGAGAAGGTTTTTGCCGTTTCTTTGGCTCGGACGGTACCGGGGCAGACATCGATTTTACTGAGGGTCATTTTGGTAATTGGGGTGGTTTATGGTTGGGGTGCACTGTTGGGGGAACTTGCTGGATTTTCTTGTAGCTAAATGCATTTTAAACAATGTACGTAATCTAACCTGACATCTAAATACGTTTTAAAAAATGTATTTAACCTAACCTGACATTTAAAATCATTTTTAAAAATGGTTTTAACCTAACCTGACTTCTAAATTCATTTTTAAAAATGTATTTAACCTAACATGGCATTTAAAATCATTTTTAAAAATGTTTTCAACCTAACCTGACTGCTAAATTCATTTTTAAACATGTATTTAACCTAACCTAACTTCTAAATTCATTTTTAAAAATGTTTTTAACCTAACCTGACATCTAAATTCATTTCTAAAAATGTATTTAACCTAACCTTATATTTAAATTCATTTTTAAAAATGTATGTAACCTAACCTGACATCTAAATACATTAAGGACAATGTATTTAACATAACCTAACATCTAAATTCATTTTAAAAAATGTCTTTAATTTAACCTCACATTTAAATTCATTTTAGACAAGGTACTTAACCTAACCTGACAGCTATATTCATTTTAGGAAATGTATTTAACCTAGCCTAATATTTAAATTCATGTTAGACAAGGTACTTAATCTAACCTCATATTTAAATTCATTCTAGAAAATGTCTTTAACTTAACTTGATATTTAAATTCATTTTAGTCAAGATATTTAACCTAACTTTATAATTAAATTCATTTTAAAAAATGTCTTTAACCTAACCTAATATTTAAATTCATTTTAGACAAGGTACTTAACCTAACCTGACATCTAAATTCATTTTAGAAAATGTCTTTAACTTAACCTAACATTTAAATTCATTTCAGACAAAGTATTTAACCTAACCTTGTATTTAAATTCATTTTAGAAAATGTCTTTAACATAACCTAACATTTAAATTCATTTTAAACAAAGTACTTAACCTAACCTGACCTCTAAATTCATTATAGAAAATGTCTTTAACCTAACCATCCATCTAAACACATTATATCCAACGTATTTAACCCAACCACCCATCTAAATGCATCACAGACAACGTACTTAAACTAACCTAATAATTCCAGGTCTTAAGTGCAAGTCCAAGAGCAAAGAAAGTTAAAGACAGTGTAGAAATCGCGTAACGGTGCATCAAGTGACACGCGATAAGCCATGATCGGTTTAGCTTAAGGCTCTTATCTGGTGATTCCATTAGCTACTCAATCCGTTTGGAATCATACCACTATCGTTCTCGATTTCATCGATCCACGCGATTACGCGTCCCCGACCGCGGCTCCGACACCTGCCCCAAACGGCCTCGACCTCGACCTTCTACTCACCGACGATTCGATAGATCGAGCAGAAAACGATGGTCATCGCGACGAACCACGTGTCCCAGTAATGGTCGTTGTTTACGGTGGCCACACCGAGGAACATGAAGATGATGGTTTCAGAGCTGCTTGACAACATCTTCATGGTGTACTTCACGGTCGTGTGGGACTTGTGCGATATGTTCGCTTCGACGTAGTTCTTCATGGTGATCCCGCAGAACGTGATGCTGTGGACGGAAATTAGGGTTCAGCTAAGATGTTGATTCATCTGGAGTGGTAGATTAAATGGAAATAGCTGGGGTGTTAGATTCAGGGGAATGTGGATGTTGAAGAGGACACATTATGTATCATGTTACAATTAATAAACTTGTTAAGTTTTAAGAAGAGAGAGAATCTAAGATTTCCAGCTTAAAGAAAGATAAATGCTTCTTTATTTTTATGGATCTCTAAAAATGTTACAATTAATAAACTTGTTGAGTTTGAAGAGAGAAGATGAAGCTTCAAGAAGAGAGAGAATCTAAGATCTCCATCCTAAAGAAAGATAAATGCTTCTTTATTTTTATGAATCTCTAAAAATGTTGCAATTAATAAACTTGTTCAGTTTCAAGAGAGAAGATGAAGCTTCAAGAAGAGAGAGAATCTAAGATCTCCATCCTAAAGAAAGATAAATGCTTCTTTACTTTTATGGATCTCTCAAAATGTTACAATTAATAAACTTGATAAGTTTTAAGAAGAGAAGATTAAGTTTCAAGAAAAGAGAGAATCTAGGATCTCCAGCCTAAAGAAAGATAAGTGCTTCTTTATTTTTATGTATCTCCAAGAATGTAAGACCTTGTGAATCTTTGGATTTCAGGGACTGGAGAAGAATATGGGGACCCAGGGATTTGGTCTAAGTTGCAGATTTAGAGATTCAGGTTAGGAATTTGTAGATCAAGGAAAATGGAATCCAGAGATCTGTTGATGTAAGAATTTGTGGATTTAGAGATTAGGAATGTGGGACGCTGTAATAGGGAGGTTTAGAATAGGAGAATCTAGGGATTTATTGGAGGAAGAGTTTGTGGATTCAGAGATTTGAAGGTTGGGAATTTATGATGCAGCTGTTTGGAGATCGAGGAATATGGGAATCTTGGGACGTGGAGGACTGAGTGTAGATTTAGGGATTTGGGGGTTGGGAATTTGGGACGGTGGAGTTTAGAGATTTAGGGATAGGGGATTTGGAACTTAGGGATGTAGGATTGTACTGAAATTGGGAATTTGGGAGATGTGGATTTGGAAGTTATGAGAGATTAGGCATGTGGGGACTTAGGGATGCAGGGAGTTGGGGATGTGTGGATTTGGAGATCTGTGGATTTGGGGACGTGTGGATTTGGGAATATGTGGATTTGGGCACGTGTGGATTTGGGGACGTGTGGATTTGGGGATGTGTGGATTTGGGGATGTGTGGATTTGGGGATGTGTGGATTTGGGGATGTGTGAATTTGGGGATGTGTGGATTTGGGCACGTGTGGATTTGGGGATGTGTGGATTTGGGAATATGTGGATTTGGGCACGTGTGGATTTGGAGATGTGTGGATTTGGGGACGTGTGGATTTGAGGATGTGTGGATTTGGGGATGTGTGGATTTGGGGACGTGTGGATTTGGGGATGTGTGGATTTGAGGATGTAGGGATTTGGGCACATGTGGATTTGGGAATGTGTAGACTTGAAGATGTATAGATTTGGAAATGTAGGAACTTGTCAATGTGGGAATTTAAAAAATTATGGATGGTTAACATTAAAAATTTGTATATCCAAAAATCTATAAATCCGAATATATAAAACTTCAAAATCACAAACCAGAAAATACAAAAACATAGAACCAAATAAAAAATGTAAAAGTTTATAAATACCATTTGCAGAATTTATAGTCCTAAATTTACAAATGAAAAAATCTAAAAACTGCACGATGAAAAAGTTTGAAAAATGGCCCCTAGAAACCCATGGAAGCAGTAAAAATTTGGAAATCGAAAACTGCCAATTGAACAATACGTGTCCTTACCCCAAGGAAGCAAACGTAGCTCCCGAGTGTGCCGTTAGCTATCGATCGTCCTGGAAACGGTGTCGAAATTAATTCGAACGGACGATCTGACGATTTACGAAATCGACGTTTTGGGGAATGGAAGATCAACGATGTGGATCGGGATTTACGACACGGACGTGACTATACCGCTTTGTGGACCACTAATTTCGACGCGGTTACATTCAGCTTCGTTTCATGATTTAGGCTAACAGGGAGGAATCCAAATTGTGACAGGGGTTTCCTGCTTCTGTTTGACTTTCGATTATGCACGTTCACTGTGTACCGATGAGTATAGGTTCTATATGGCACAATTGACGATATGCGTAGAGGAAACCATGCTACTTGTTAATTTTTTATTTTGTTTAAGGATTTTAGCAAATTTAAAATTATGGAAAGTGTAGGAAGTTTGAAAATTTGTGTAAAAGAAATCTGGGGAATTAGGGATTTGAGGAATTAGGGACTCGGGGAATTAGGGGAACGGGGAATTAGGGGATCGGGGAATAAGGGATCGGGGAATTAGGGAATCATGGAATTGGAGAATTGGGGAATTAGGGAATCGGGGAATTAGGGAATCATGGAATTGGAGAATTGGAGAATTAGGGAATCGGGGAATTAGGGAATTGGGGAATTAGGGAATCATGGAATTTGAGAATTGGGGAATTAGGGAATCGTGGAATTGGAGAATTGGGGAATTAGGGAATCGTGGATTTGGAGAATCGGGGAATTAGGGAATCGTGGAATTGGAGAATCGGGGAATTAGGGAATCGGGGAATTGGAGAATCGGGGATTTAGGGAATCGGGGAACTATGGAATCTGGGAATTAGGGAATCGTGGAATTGGAGAATTGGGGAATTAGAGAATCGCGGAATTGGAGAATCGGGGAATTAGGGAATCGGGAAATTAGGGGATTTGGAACTAGGGAATTTGGGTATTTAGGGATTTGGGAATCTAGGGAACTTGGGAATTTAGGGATTTTGCACTAAGAAATTTAGAATTTAGGAGCTTGAGACTCCGAATTCCCATCTCACAAAAAAACCCCTAGAAATTTTAGAAAATCTGAAAATTCGTATAAAAGAAAACCAAATTAAATTCTCAATTCGACAAATAAAAATATCTAACTCGACAAAAGAAAACTAACCTTAATTTGAAAAATAGGAGATAACAGAAAAAATTCTTGTCATACAGACATTCGATAATGCATCACAAAAGTTTAACGGAGCGTCATTAATCGAGTGCCCTTCAACTTTTAGTTTTACGTATTCACAATGTTTTTGCATCCGCAGTTTCATCGGATCCATCATAATAGCTGTCGAAGAAGACTACAGAGCGTTAAGTAGCTCGATGAAAACGCGTCTACCTCATGAATAATTTATCTTTCTTCTTCGAGGCGATGATGGACAGCGCAACATCGATCTTCCCGCGCTTTGCATTTAGGCGAGCAGAAAACTTGGAAGTCACGTGACAACGTTTCCGACGCGGAAATAAAACTGCTGCTATATTAACGCCTTAAACTTCTAACTTCTCCCCGTACAATTTAATATTCCTCGAAAAACATTGAAGAAGTAATTGGACTGTTATAAAGAGAGATGCACTATACCGTATATCGCTTTAGTAGCTAAAGTGTTAATAGGGTAGCTTCGCATAATTTCATTCCAATCTAATAGCTTCACACGGTGAACTTTGAGTAGCCGAGGGTTCTGCTCTCAATATTAATAGCGACTCTAATTTTATACGGTGAGAATGTTACGGATATAAACAGTTAGAAGGATTAATTTGTTTAAACAATTATTGCTATTCAAATATTTTATGGTTACTTGTGACGTTATAGTTTCATTTTTTTAGGTCTCACATTTAGAGTTTCAATTTTGGGAAATTATGATATTAATGTTATTAAATTAACGATGTTAATGTTATTCATTAATTTGTGCAATTTAAAAAAATTATTCATTAGTTGTTCAATTATAGTGGACAGTTCATAATTATATCATATAAATTATAATTATATTGTGTGTGCAATTATATTACATGTAAGGTGTAATCATATCATGTGTGCAATCATATTATACATACAACATATCTGTGTTATGTGCACAATTAAATTGTACATAAAATATGATTACATTATTTATGCAATTTTATTGTGCATACAATATAATCATGTCATGTACTCAACTATATTGTACACACAGAATGAACTTATATTATGTGCACAATTAAATTGTACATAAAGTATGATTACATTATTTATACAATTTTATTATGCATACAATATAATCATGTCATGTACTCAACTATATTGTACACACAGAATGAACTTATATTATGTACACAATTAAATTGTGCATAAAGTATGATTACCTTATTTATACAATTTTATTGTGCATATAATATAATCATGTCATGTGCTCAACTATATTGTACACACAGAATGAACTTATATTATGTACACAATTAAATTGTGCATAAAGTATGATTACATTATTTATACAATTTTATTATGCATACAATATAATCATGTCATGTACTCAATTATATTGTACACACAGAATGTACTTACATCGTGTACACAATTAAATTGTCCATTAAATATGATTACTTTATATAATCATATAAAATGATTATTTTATATAATCATAAAGTGTACTCATATTATACATGCATATTATTGCATGATACTATAAAATGCACTTCCTAAATTGTATAAAAATGTGCTACTAAAAAAAAGTACAACTAAAAAATCGTCACATAAAAAACAATATGGCGCAGCATCTCGATAATCGCGCGCGCCCGGGGCTCCCGGGCTCCAGACTAAAGCGTATCCCTGTAATAGTTTAATAAGTTTTAAGTACCCGTTACCGTGTATCAGCATTACGTATCCCAAATCGTTTATTTGTCCATCAAACAGTCCGTCCACTCGAGCATTCAAATAAAAAATCAACGAGATCGATCGAGACCGGGTGATTACGGGTTAAGCATATTTGAACAGTTATTACACGGCGCATACTTTGCCTCTGGATCGATGATCGTCGTTTGAACTCGTACAGGAAACGTGTAAATAATAGACTTAACGAGAACACGGTAGCCGTCGTTGTTTCAGAATAATGATTTGCCATATCGTTGAATTACTCGGATAAAATCAAGGCTGGCCTTGAGAATAGGTTGAACGTGTCATCGAGCAAATTGTTGAGCCGTTCGGAGTAGATTTTCGTTGGACATTCGGTATCGCTTGGATCTCATGGCGGCAAAACGCAGAAAATGGCCGGGCAACGCGTACTTATTGAAAAGTTTCAAAGTGTATAGGGCGCAATCTATCGGGATCGCACATATTTTCTTTTTATTACGAGAAGGCACGCACGCCACGACGGGGCCGCGTGACAGTTCGCGTGACGCCCACGGTTGAAAGTTCTTTCCGAAATTTATTGCGACGCAAAATTGGAGAGCGCCGGAAAACTAGTGGAACTGGTTTCTGCAAATCTAAGGATCGCGGACACGTGCCAGATGCTCGATTTTTATCGGTGGACGAGAAACAAGTGTATTTTGCTGAGGGAACGTTTCTTTAAACTCGTGTATTAGTCAGCGATTTCAGAATTTGGGGAGGTCGAGATGGACAATTGCGGAATTTAGGGATTTTGGGGTTTGGGAGTAGGTAATTTGGGGATTTAGGGATTTGGGACTGGAGAATTTGAGGAATTAGGGATTCGGGACTGGGGAAATTGGGGATTTAGGGATTTGGGACTAGGGAATTTGGGAATTTAGGGATTTAGGACTAGGAGATTGGGGACTAGAGGATTTGGGATTAGGGGATTGGGGACTAGAGTGTTTGGGACTAGGGGAGTTTGGATTAGGGGATTTGGGATTAGGGGATTTTGGATTAGGGGATTTGGGATTAGGGGATTTGGGATTAGGGGATTTGGGATTAAGGGATTTGGGACTAGGAGATTTGGAACTAGGGGATTGGGGACTAGAGGATTTGGGACTAGGGGATTTGGGATTAGGGGATTTGGGAATCTAGGGATTTAGGGACGTGGAGATTTGGAAACGGAATTCGGGACGTGGGAATTGGGAAATCTAGGGAATTTGGAACTAGGGAATTTGGAACTACGGAAATTGGGTATTTAGGGATTTGGGAATCTTGGTAATTTGGGGATTCAGAGATTTGGGACTAGGTAATGTGGGGATTTAGAGATTTTGGTACTAGGGAATTTGGGAATTTAGGGATTTGGGAATCTAGGTAATTTGGGAATTTAGGGATTTGGGAATCTAAGTAATTTGGGGATTTAGAGATTTGAGACTCGGGAATTTTAGAATTTGGAAATGTGGACCTAGGGATATTGCAATTTTGGCAATTTGGCAATTTGCAAATTTGGCACTGAGAAATAGGGGAATTTGGAAATTTGAAGAAGTGAAATAGGGGAATTTGGGAATATCAGGGTTCAGATCTGGGGATTTAAAGTAGGGAATTTGGGGACTTGGAATAGGAGAATGTGAGAATTTGGAGATTTGGAATAAGATAATCTGAGATTTTGGTGATTTGGGAAACTGGAATATGAGAATTAACTATCTTGGAAATTTACTGATTCCAGCTAGGTGAATTTGGGTCTAGGGAAATTTGAGAATATAGAGAAAAAGCCTAGGAGAATTTGAGGAATCTGGAATTTGGTCTAGAGGAATTTGTAAATTCAGATATTAAGACTAGGCTAATTTGGGAATTAGATAATTTGGTCTAGGGGAATTTGTAAATTCGAAGATTGAGCCTAGGTGAATTTGTGAATTCAGGAATTCGATCTAGGAAAATTTGTAAATTCTTCAATTAAGACTAAATGAATATTGAAATTCCAGTCTTCAACCAGAAAAAAATTAATTTAAAAACTTGTATATTCAAAACGATATAAATTCAGCTACTAAAACATCCAAAAATACAAAACCCCTCTAACGTAATCCGAAGAATAGCGTAATCGAGCGTGCTATCGAAAGCCAATCATTTGCACCGTCCATCTGTCCCACTGCCCTTGAAAACCCAGCTGTCCATCACTGTCTTAAACAGTAATCGACATCCGCTGATAGGCTTACATAACTTGTATTAATTACATATTAATTAATTCCTTTCTGATCGATTCAGCTACGTGTAAACGGTTCTATTCATCGACCGTCTCCAGCTACTCAAAGCATTCATGTTCCGAGCTTTCAAATTGAACGGTATTCGAGATTTCCACATGCATGTATGTACACGAGTATTCTAATGTTTCACCATGAATGTCGGTTCATCTAGCTTCATCAAGGTTCTGGATTACATTCGGATTAGGTCTTGGTTAGGCATATTGCACGTGCTCGTACAGTATGATTATGATACCTCTGCCTTGATATCGGTAGTAAGTAAAGCGTGTACTTGATGAAGCTAATTATATGTCTAGGGTGGAAATTACAGAACTGTCATGAATTTGGTACAAATGTACTTTCAAATGATATCGGTACATCTACTGTAAATTGTATTTACATGAAGACTATTTGTAATATTTGCTGAAGATCGTAATTAATATTTGTAACTGTACTTTGTAATATCAACTACATTTTACAGTAAGTTACTGCTATTTAAATACACTTCTTCAATTTAATCATAATAGTCAGAAGAGAATATCAAAATGACACATGTACAAACAAATAAAACTTGTCCATTTCTAAAATAATCAATTTGTGGATTTCTATAATAAAATTAGAGTTTCAGGAAATTTAAGCAGCATATCTGGAAAGCCTAAAGAGACTTATGGTACATGAGAACAAACATGAACCTACAAAGAACCTTAACATCTCAAAAAGAACTCCAAAAAGATTCTCACATCCTTCCAACACAAAGACCACAAATAAACAGCAACATAAAACCAATTCAACTTACATCAATTTCAATTTACCTTATCGCAAGAATCAGAAGAAAAGTTCACTTACGCCAGTATGCTCGACATGTGAAAAATTTCAGCGTTCAGGTAGGCCAGGTACGCCATGACGAATATGAAGATGGGTTCGATCACGCGAACCTGATGGGTGAACCTCGTGACGAAACCGGTGGCGAAACCCCATATCACTCCGATTATCGTGCCCCCGATCGCCACCACGAAGAACGAAGCCAGACCGGTCAACAGGTCCGTGTAAAGTATTTCCGTCGGGCCTATCTCGTTGTACGCCTCGAACATATGGTACAGCACCTGAGTGGCCATTAAAACGGGACGAGTTATTCCAACTGTTTCGACGATTAACATGTTTTGTTAGGGTGGAGGACTCTTTTTTTTAAGGCGTTCACTGCTGCAATGAAGATTGTAATTTTAGGGACTTTTGGTAACTGAGTAGTTGGCAATTTCGGGAATTTAGGGAATTTGGGAACTTAGAAATTTGGGATTAGGGATTTAGGGGTTTGGGAATTTAGGGAATTTGGAAGTTTGAGGGATTTGGGACTAGGGAATTTGGGGATTTAGGGATTTTGGACTAGGGAATTCGGGGATCTAGGGATTTGGGAATTTAAGGAATTTGGGAATTTAGGGAATTTGGGATTATGGAATTTGGAATTAGGCAATTCGGGGATTTAGGGATTTGGGAATTTAAGGAGTTTGGGGATTTAGGGAATTTGGGAATTTTGGGAATTTGGGATTATGGTATTTGGGACTAGGGAATTCGGGGATTTAGGGCTTTGGGAATTTAAGGAGTGTGGGGATTTAGGGATTTGGGAATTTAGGGAATTTGGTGATTAGGGAATTTTGGAACTAGCGAAATTGGGAATTAGAGAATTTGGGGACTAGGGAATTTTGGAACTAGCGAAATTGGTAATTAAAGAATTTGGGGTGTAGGGAATTTGGGGATTATAGAATTTGGAAACTAGGGAATTTGGGATTATGGAATATGGAACTAGGCAATTCGGGGATTTAGGGATTGGGGAATTTAAGGAATTTGGGGATTTAAGAATTTGGGAATTTAGGGAATTCGGGAACTAGGGAATTTTGGAACTAGCGAAATTGAGAACTAGAGAATTTGGGGACTTGGGAATTTCGGGACTAGGGAATTTCGGGACTAGGGAATTTGGGGACTAGAGAATTTGGGACTAGGCAATTTAGGAATTTTGGAATTTGAAGATATAGGGGCCTAGAAATTGTGGAATTCAGAAATTTAAAAAGTTGGTGATTTAGGAATTTGGGTTTTATGGTTTTGGAGATATAGGAATTTACCAACTTACACATTCCCAAATTCCCAAAGTTGCAAATTACCAAATTCCCAAGTTTTGACCACTTCCAAATCCCCAAATCCTAAAATCCCCAAATCCCCCAGCTCACAAACCCCCAAATCTTCAAATAAAAAACCTAACCTAACCTATCACAGCTCACAAATCTATACTCCACTCCTCCATTACACACAACATCCCTTATCCACAAATTTCCTTTTACCCAATTTCTTGAAATTTCTTCAATTTCTTATATAGTAAAATCTTGAAGCGTGACGCATAAGTTTTGAATTATGTGTGTACCAGAGTTAACATTGCAGCAGCGAAGTATCAATCGACGCAATTGAGAAACTCAAAAGCATCGGATTAAAAGCGATCGATTCGATCTAGTAGTATCAATATTTACAGCTAAATCAATACTTACGACGGTGACAGCGTCGTTCAACAAGCTCTCTCCGAATACGACGATATATAGGATCTCGTTTACATGAATCTCTTCGAAAACGGCTAACACAGCGACGGGATCGACGGCGCTGATCAACGCTGAGAAAAGGAACATTTGCAGGAGCGGCGTTTCGAAGCCGAACAGGCCGATCTTACCTAACACCCATAACGAGGCGCCTAGAAACAATTAATCATTAATTAACAATTTTTTTTCATTCACTTATAATTTTTTTGATTTTCTAATATTCACATTTGGTGATTCAACAGTCACATTTTTATGTCAATGTTGTATTTATTAAGGGGTAACTTTAGGGTTAATTTGATGTTGCTTACAGTGTACTGATTGTGTCAAATTAATTATTTTTATTTTATGTTATGGTACTGTATTGTAAAAGTTATTATGTGCAATATTATGGAAATTTTTTTGAAATGTAAAGATGGTGTCTTAGAACCTCAGCAAAATTAATTTACCATTACCTATTACTGAAAATAAATGTATAATGAATTCATCTAATAATTATTAATACAATTCTTGGCAATAAATCAGTCATGTCTATTTGTATAAAATTTCCAATAGACACGAATGAAAACATCTTCAAGGAACAGGTTACAAGGTCTCTAAAATTGTATTTCAAAGAAAATGCATGCTGTACTTCTTTTAAAATAATGATCTCATAGTGTCCGTATATAATGAGTTGCGTATTAAGTTAATCGATGATCAAACAAAAATGAAAATAAATCAAGACCTGGCAAAATCAGTGTTGTTCAATCTTATCGAATTGCCGGTATAATTCCGTAAATCCATCGATAACGTAACGATCACTGATAAAAGCGTTACGTCTTTAATTATCAACCAGCGTAACCGTGTCGTATGCAGAAAATCGACGACGTTTCGTAACTCGCAACTACCATTTCGCGAACACTCTGATCCATAAACAGAAATCGCGTGGGCGAGTCCTCGTGTTTTCACTCTCGATAGAAGCGCCGGTTACTACGTGCGCGCTGATTACGAAATGTACGACGAAAATTGACAGATCGCGACTGCTCGTAAATTCCGAGGTGCACAACGAAATTTTCTGAAACGGAATGTTAAAAAGTTAAGTGGTCCGTAGCGGTTTACGGGGAACTCTGTACATACTTCACGATCTACTTCAAACTTCTTCTGTGTTCTTTAGTATGTACGAAACTCCTGTTTACGAATTCTTACTTGTTCCGAAACTATCGGAACTTCTTCAAAATTGTATTGTACCTCCCTGGGAAACTTCACGGGTTTTCGAACTTTCGGATGTTTTTAACGATTTAGGAAAAAATACTGTTCGGTACTGAGTCAATTAAATCGTTACGTATACATATGTGTTGCATGCACATGTGTTAAATATGGAATAGAAAAATGTTACGTAATTTTAACGATGATGCACATGTGAAATTTTAAAGTAACATAAATCTCTCTTCTAGAGTCAAATTAAAATATACATACATATGTGTACATGTATGTATATGTGTGTATACATATGTGTATATGTATGTATATGTGTGTATAGATATCTGTTCATGTATGTATATGTATGTATATGTGTGTATACATATGTGTATGTATATGTATGTATACAATGTATGTACGCATATGTGCATATGTATGTACATGTATGTATACAATGTATGTACACATATGTGCATATATATGTACATGTATATATACATATGTGTTCATGTATGTATATGTATGTACACATATGTGCATATATATGTACATGTATGTATACATATGTGTACATGTATGTATATGTATGTACACATATGTGCATATGTATGTACATGTATGTATACATATGTGTTCATATATGTATATGTATATAAACATATGTGTTTATGCACGTATATGTATACATACATATGAATATTTTATTATACACATATCTATAACAAAAAGTATACAGATTTTATTGGTACCTATATTAAAACTCATTTAATTATTCCGTAGTATTATACAGTTCACTTTGGTATCGAAATATGACTGTGTATAAAAGGCGTGATTTCTGGACCAGCGCCAGTAATACTTAAAAAGTCGTTTCCGGGCTGATATATTTTTCACAAACGCGTGCACAGATGTACGAATAAAAATAAAAACAGAGGCAACAAATAAAATCTACTCCAACGAGATAGGAAGAAGCACTTACATTTATCACAAAGACCATTTACATAAATAACCCATTAGATAGTCTGTCTACCCACTCAGAGGATCATTCTGTCTTCTACAAACGTTTCCATAGAAAATGAACAAAACTAAAAGACGATATAAAAAGCGAATAAAATATGAACCGTCAGAGAGAAGAAATTGCGTTTTTTACAATTGAAAGGTGAAAAGAAGTGATGCTGATTTTATTGCGATTGTTTATTGAGACGTTATTGCAATTATTCTTAGTTTTTTACGAGCAATAAATTGATAAAGAAAAAATTGTTCTAGTTTTTGTACTTTGAGATATATTGCCACTTTTTAGGTTTGATATTTGAAGAAAATGATTCGTATTATTTTAAGGTTTATTTGATTATTATAATTTAGGTCTAAAACGTTTCGATGAGTGACCCACGCGGAATTACACATTGAATGAGTGAGCCAAGACCTAGTTTTGAAATATAGGTGACCCACGCTCTAAATATGGATTGCGCGAGTGATCTATGTTATAGTTTTGAAATATGCGTGACCCACGATTAAAGTATGGTGGGCACGAATGATCCACTTTTCAGTTTTCAATTGTACGGATGACCCACGACACAAATCACAAATATGTAAGTGATCCACGCGACAACAATAAATGTTATGGGTGACCCATGCATACATCACGAAATCTATGAGTGACCCACTTACGATTTTAGGTTACACGAGTGACCCACGCATCAAATGTAAATTAAACGAGTGACCCACGCATCAAATGTAAATTACACGAGTGACCCACGCATCAAATGTAAATTACACGGGTGACCCACGCATAAAAACTAAATCACACGGGTGACCCACCCACGAAACCTAATTTGCACGGATGATCCACGCACGAATTCTAAACAAGATGGATGACCCACGCAACAATTCTAATTATTGCGAGCGATCTATGCAACAATATTGAAATATATGAATGACCCATGCATAAATATGAATTAAATCGAATGACCCACGCTTCTGTTGTAACTCATACACATGACCCACGCATACAAATCTGACTTTAAATTGTATGACCCACATTAAAATATTAAATCACATCAGCCATCAAAAAATTTGAATAGAATGGGTGACCCACAATTATAGATTGCGTAGGTGACCCAAAGTTGCGTGACCCACCTGCCGATTATAAATTGTAAGAGTGTCCCATACCTTACTATGATGTTACATACGTGACCCACGACCTAATTATAAACCATCTGAGTGACCCACGACAGTTGTCAACTCTGATCGACCCAATTATAAATTGCATAAGTGATCCATGTGACAATACAATATTATCCAAGTGATTCATGCCTCAATATTAAATTGCAGGACCCACGCTTTACGTGACCCACGATGTCCTCCCAATAAATCAATTATACATTGCATGAGTGATCAATGTGACAATACAATATTGTCCAAGTGACCCATACCTCGATATTAAATTGCAGGACCCACGCTTCACGTGACCCACGCATCGTAGCGTGAAATTCGCAGTGCTAGTTAAAATGTCTATCACGTACAGCAGTGAATCGATGAATTCATTGCCCGTTCCGTTTGCAGTTCGATCAAATATTATTCCACTATTTAGATTGTTTATGTTACCAATAATACTGAAATCCAACGCGTTCGATCCAAACAATGCAACAATGTTTGATCGACAACGTCACCGTAAACGAATCAATAACCCGGATCGAGTTTGAATCTCCATTAAAAACAACCGAGCAAGCTCATTTTCAGTAAGCAACAAAAATATTTTTTCCACTCTATTAAGGTTCATTTGACTGTGGTTAAACCGGCTCTAAAAAAAAGTCGGCCACTTTTCGATGCGATAGAGTTTCCGCGCGTTTAAACTTCCCTTCCGAGCTTCCGTAAATAAAACATCAACGTAAAAGTAACTCCGTTTCCGGTAACTAAATACTTGCCCGCAAAAACAATCCTTTTCGCTCTATTAAGGCGTAGACTCCGCAAAAATCCCGATGGGCACTCCTTCACGAAAAGTAACTGTTTAGAAAAAAAGCCCGATAAATTCCGCATCTAATGCGATACGAAAAGAATCGCTGTTCATTCTATTAGAGTTCATTCGACCGCTGCACCTATAAAATCCCGCTATTTTTCGACGCGATAGAATTTCTCCGCGTTTAAACCGGCGCTATAGATCTCTTGAAACGTCCGTCAGGCAATTTTTGAATCAGCCCGTGTGCTTTTTCATCGGGCCAGCCTGAGCGAAGGCGCGAACAGCCACGGGGTCCAGACAGAAATAAAAGAACTCGTAAAAACGAACGCGAAACAGGCCAGCCGGCAAGATATTTCGACGGGAAATAAAGTTTGAAAAAAAGAAAACGTCCATACGTTTCCACGTAACAGATTCATGGACATAGGAATATGTGAAGTCCAATGGCCCCGGTTTGTATTCGTAAACATAAGAACGTGGGGCGGCCATATTGTAAAGATAGTAAGTCGGTAGATCTATTAGCAAATTGGGAATTAGAATTTCGTTTCATATTTTAGTTCTGTGCTTATTTATAATAAATATATTTGACAAGATTCAATTTCTAGGTCGACATGAATGAAAAATAATTTATAAAAATGACAAGGAGTATACTTAAGGCTTATGGAGCAATTTTAGATTAGAAGTGAAGTACATCAGGGATGAGACATTAATTTATACAATTATTCATAACCTTAAGAAAAGTTAACATATCGACAAAAATATTTAACGCACATTTCAACAAAATTATCCTAATAATTTTTATTACGTAAAATTCTTTTGTACCCAATTTTCTAGGATATATAATCAATCAGAAAGAAAATCATGTCCTTCCACAATGGTCGTTCAACCTCATATCCCGCCATATAAGTTCATTTCCACCGAGTTAGCTCATACATTAATCCGTGAATAAAGTCTGCTGGTCCATTTTTACTAACCTATCGATAAGGTGTTAAATATAGTCCCGACGACGGCGAACAGAAGTATCGTTCCCAGGTGGTCGAAGAACAGTCGGTTCGGCATGAAATAACCAGCGTCCAGTATAATGGGCGGCAACATGTAGAGGAAAAACGTGTCCGGCGTAAGAGGTGACACGTGGACGCTGCTCATCTTCGAGAGTAGGGCGCCGATCACAACGCCGACCACGATCAGCAGACAGGATTCCGGAAAGACTTTGCTGAGACTCGGCGTCATGTGAAAGCCTGCACAATCGTTGCTTTACAGATCTTGTTCGACTTGGTGAAATAAAAAGGCGGTGGAGAAATATGGAGTAAAATTTTGATCGTTGTTTGCGTGAACCGGTTTGATACTTGGATGCAAGAGGGTGGATAGGATTTTAGTTATGGGAGGTAGTTACATTTTGGGGGGTAGAAAGTTAGGAGGTTGGGAATTTGGGAAGTTGGGGATTTGAGGAATTTGGAAATGAGGAATTAGGGATTGGGGAATTAGGGATTGGGGAATTAGGGATTGGGGAATTAGGAATTGGGGAATTGGGGAATTGGGGATTGGGGAATTAGGGAATCGGGGAATTAGAAATTGTGGAATTAGGGATTGGGGAATTAGGGTATCGGGGAATTAGGGAGTCGGGGAATTGGAGAATCGGGGAATTAGGGAATCGGGGAACTAGGGAATCGGTGAATTAGGGAATCGGTGAATTAGAGAATCGGGGAGTTAGGGAATCGGGGAACTAGGGAATCGGTAAATTAGGGAATCGGTGAATTAGAGAATCGGGGAGTTAGGGAATCGGGGAATTAGGGAATCGTGGAATTGGAGAATCGGGGAATTAGGGAATCGGGGAACTAGGGAATCGGTGAATTAGAGAATCGGGGAGTTAGGGAATCGGTGAATTAGAGAATGGGGGAATTAGGGAATCGGTGAATTAGGGAATCGGTGAATTAGAGAATCGGGGAGTTAGGGAATCGGGGAATTAGGGAATGAGGGAATTAGGGAATCGGTGAATTAGTAATCGGGGAGTTAGGAAATCGGGGAATTGAAGAATCGGGGAACTAGGGAATCGGTGAATTAGAGAATCGGGGAGTTAGGGAATCGGTGAATTAGAGAATGGGGGAATTAGGGAATCGGGGAATTAGAGAACCGTGGAATTAGGGAATCGGGAAATTAGCAAATTGGGGAATTAGGAATTGGGAAATTTGGGAATTTGGAAGTTTAAGAATTAGAGAATTTGAGAATTTAAAAATTCTAAAAAATTAAGAATTTAACAATTTCCTAACCATTGAAAATTTACAATCCCAAATTTATATCTTTCGAATTCTTAAAATTACAAAGCATGAAATTTCTCAATTTCCGTTCCAAAATCAAAAGAGATCACTATACAAATTACTTCCTCCACATTCTTCAGTATCTACTCAGTGATTACAATAGACAAGCTATTTCTCCCAAATTTTTGCCAAAATAAGTCCTCGTCTCATAATTTTTAAATCACGATCGAAATCGTTTGGCACTTGACAATTTTTAAGAACGACCACGTTCCTGGCACCATTTTCTTTCGACAATCAACACGTTGTACACGTTATTTGCTAAAGAGCTTTACTCACTATTATAAGTCTGACGCCTGAAATGGCCGCTTTGCATCGCAGCTTTTCGTAATGAAAGGGTTAACCCTCGTTTGTGCTGGGCCACTTCTGTTCCAACCGCCTGTTGCAACCAGGCGTGGGTTTACCATCGTTTCGATATAAATAATCATGTTTCAACCTGCATATTTATGAACCGTCGCATATTTAAGCAGAATAAATTAAAAGAAATTTTTATATCGATCTCACTGCTCAATAAAAATAACTGATTTTTACTAATGAATTATTCTGTCGAATCAATTTTTAACATTTTTATACTTTCATATATTTATCGTGCAATAATTCATGTGATAGTATTAAAGACTATACAGATTTTTTTGTAAAAAATGAATGACTATAAATGATATAATAATGACTATAAAATTTTAAGGTAAGTTAAAATTTTTAAACTTTAGATTTTGCAGAGAGTGCAAATTTTATTTTGTTACAAATTTTACTGTATTTATCGTTATTAAAATTTTTATTGTGAGAATGTAATTAGATATCAAATATTGAAGATGCTATAAGATGTTATGTTGCCACAAGATGCAGAGAAAGTAAAAAATGAGACAGCGATGTTCGAACAATAATCAATCAAGTCGATGATACGCAAAATTCGACGAAAGAGCAAGTACTATAAAAATGGAATGATTAATGCAGAAGGTTTTAGATACAGTGCTTTGTTGCTAATGCGAGCGAAACCATTGGAAGACGATCAGAGTAGAATCTCCATTATCTGAGCATTCAGAATCCGACTGTTTCGCTGTCCGATCATTCTGTTATCTGAACACTCTGTTATCTATCTATATCGTTGTTCTGCGTCTGTTTTGGTAACAGGAACATTCTACAGGGGTTCGATGGTAATACAGTGTAATAATGGGATGTACCATCGTGTACGATTTAACGCGAGCATTGCACTATTTATGTAATCACGTAATCTCGACTGGAAAATCCAGCTATCGTGAAAATAATCGAAAATCCATTTAAAATGGCAAAATTATCACGTTGGAATTTTCATTTCAGTAAAACTTTTAATGCGTTCATCACGTTAATATTTTTCCCTTTATATAACAGATAGAGAATGTAATTAATTCACCGATTCCCGAATTCCCTGGTTCCCCAATTCCTTGACTCCCTAATTCCCCGATCCCCTAATTCCCCCATTCTCTAATTCACCGATTCCCTAATTCCCTCATTCCCTAATTCCCCGATTCCCTAACTCCCCGATTCCCTAATTCCCCGATTCCCCAATTTTACCATTCTCTAATTTACCGATTCCCTAATTCACCGATTCCCTAATTCACCGATTCCCTAATTCCCCGATTCTCTAATTCACCAATTCCCTAATTCCCTAATTCCCCGATTCCCCAATTCCCCCATTCTCTAATTCACCGATTCCCTAATTCCCCGATTCTCTAATTCACCGATTCCCTAATTCCCCCATTCTCTAATTCACCGATTCCCTAACTCCCCGATTTTCTAATTCCCCGATTCCCTAATTCCCCCATTCCCTAATTCCCCGAATCCCTAATTCCCCGATTCCCTAATTCCCCGATTCCCTAATTCCCCGATTCCCTAATTCCCCGATTCCCTAATTCCCCGATTCCCTAATTCCCCGATTCCCTAATTCCCCGATTCCCTAATTCCCCGATTCCCTAATTCCCCGATTCCCTAATTCCCCGATTCCCTAATTCCCCGATTCTCCAATTCCACGATTCCCTAATTCCCCGATTCCCTAACTCCCCGATTCTCTAGAATGTAATCTGTTGAATTAAAAATAATTATTGGAAAAATGAGAAAAATAATAATTCAGAGGAGAGAAATAATTGAAACAAAATACATCAAGTATAATAATTGTGAATGAAAACATAATTTTAATTCCGACAAGTTTGGATAAGTTTAATAATTACTACATAAGTTTAGACCTTAATAATTGTTGCTAATTTACAAAATTCTGCCAAGTTATTCCAAGAAGGCTTGAACCTTCACCGCGAAACTCATGAAATAATTCGAAATTATTCAATTAGAAAGTGTTAACGTAGAAAGTTAAAAGCGATATAAACTTTTAGACCCTTAATACCCGAGTGATTTAATTTGCAACAAACCTAATCAACTATTCTAGCAATTAGCATTTTGCAGGTACCTTTAAGCTATGTAATATATTAGAGCTATTTAAGGATTGCTTCAAACTGGGATCCCATTAAAACGGACAGCAGTGTCTCATGAAAATTCATGAGTCAGCTAAATATGACACATGAAATAGCTGATAAAATTAAATCGTGAAGCAGAACAGAGGCATCTTAAAAACTTGAAGAGTCATCGCAGTCGAAAAAATGGGAACGCTACCAAAATGACGCGAAGTATTGAAATTCGATCGAAACGGTGACGAAACGTTCAATCAGATAATGGAGATATTTTGATAGAGCCTCTTGATAGTGAAACGTGGTCTATTTGCAAAATTTCAGATACAAAATTATAATAATGTAGAATAATTTTTGTCAAGATTTTCTTTTGCAAAATATTTCTGTTTATTGACAATTAATGGGTAGGCTAATTTATTAAATTCTGGATGGGGTTGATTTCTAGTTTAGGTAATTTTTAATTTAGGGATTTGCGGACACATCCGGTGATATGGGGTTTTGGGGTTCCAGGAATGTGGAAATATATTTGGAGACATGGGAGTATGGTCACATAGGAATCCGAAGACACGGAATCTGGGGATACTGGAATCCGAGCGAACAGAAACTGGGGACATAGGAATCCGGAAATATGGGAACCTATTGGAGTCTTAAAATACAACTGGGCATATTGGAAACCGCAAATGTAAAAATCTAAAAAAGAGATGTAAAACATGTACCACATAAAAAATAAATAATATAGCAAATTATAACATGTGGTCCAAATAGCCAAACGTATCTATTACCCTAAATTACCCTAAAACCGTCCAACATAAAATACCGAATCTAATTCCCCAGCTTCCCATCAAATAAACTTCCAGCAATAACAGTGAACCGATTTATAAATGCAGCCAAAACCCTACACCGTAAACAAGAGGTCAAAAGTTGAAAGTTCGCCAACTTCGGTACGCAAACAACGACATAGTTGACCACACGGACTACCAACGAGCCGATCAACGAGGCCAGCGGTTCAAGTTCAAGTGCCACGTGTTACCTATTTTCGCGATGCTGGCGAAGAAGATCCATATCCCGATGACGAATGGTGTTTCGATCCTGTGGAACTCCACGGAGATGATGTTGTAAGTCCGTTTCTGAGGCACGGAGGAGTCGTTGTTCTCCTGGACCGCGTGCGACGCTAAATGCTCTACGTTGTCCCCTTTGACGAGACTCGGTGACGACATATCGTCGGGTAAGGAGCCGTCTATGGGACCCATGGGTCCGAAGCTTTTGCCCGGATAAGGTTCTCGGAGGTCTCGAGGGAAGTCGTCCGCGATTGGTCCGTTCATCGCGTAATCGTCCATGGGTACCCTGCGATCCGGCTGCAGGTCTGCATCGGACTCGTAAGTGTTTACCGGGCCACCCTGACCACATGGCCATCGGGCGACGATGAAGAGGATCGCACAAACGACACGTGTATCCATGGTGACGATGGCGGGGCTTTCAAAAACAACTCTAGCTAAGTGGTTCCCGCTGTTCCCAAAGTTGCTTCACCACACCCTCGCTTCCTGTTTCCCGTCGCGACTTCTTTCGGACCGATCGATCAAGCTACGTTCTGCACGTGGAAGACAACTCTTCGGTCCACGACACGGACCCCGTTATTGCTCTCGATTGTTCTCGCGGTAGGAACTAAAGACACTTCCGAACACCTCGAATTAGCGTATCGATTCCCGGACACGTCACAGATCCAAACGTTCACGGCACCACGTTTTACCCGGGTCCTCTCTGGTCGCAATTCCTCGCGGCGATTTTTGTCCGGTGTCAACGAACCCTTCCCATCCTTCGCCGTGAGTAAAATTCTTAAAGCAACCACTTCTTCGGATTGCACATTTGTTTTGCTACTTACCACGGCGTCGCTCTCCGTGGGCTATCGACGAAGAGGGTCCTCCTCGTACGCAGCTGCAGCAGACCGAAGCACTCCGCTAACGATCGTGTTTACGCGTCGCTCTGCTTACATCGCGATCACTTTATCCAAGGTATTCATCGGGAAGAAACACGCACTTAGGGTAGAATTCACCGAGGATCGAAGCGATGGAAATTTACAGAGATACTTCGTTGGAGAGCGGACGACGCGTAAGGGTTGCGAGACGGGTTTACGCTGGATCCAGGGGTCTCCTGACGCCATGGCAGTTCGGGAATACCGGGAGTTTCCAGACAAGTTGGCGACGAGGTCGAGGCATCGTCGGCGTTCCGAGGTTTCAGGCGTTGCTGTTCGATCGACCGTCACGGCAGCACTGGGCGCGAGTTAAATCGCCGGCTCGCGAGCTACGTCGACGTCGACGACGGGCACCATCGTCGCGGTAACGGGCAAAAGGGCGACGGTGGGAAAAAAACGTGCGCCACTGTCGACGAGGCCACCCTCGACGTCGCTACTGATCGTCGACGGATGTGGTGTTCGGCTGTCTCTGTCCGACGAGAGGGTCTCTCTCTCTATGGACCGTGCTGCTCTCTATATCGCCCTCCTTGTCCCACCCCTCCGCGGCTCGGCTCGGGCTTCCAGCCCAGCTGATCGTTGCGGGAACCCGCGCAGGCGTCGCGACGCTTCGATGCCGTCTCGCACGACGTCGCTGGGTGTAGACTCGCACGCGTCGAGACGCCGAGGATTTGTGTTGTCGTGACGCTGCCTGGAGTTTCGGCGTCGCTGCGCACTAAAGCACCGACACAAAACCGACCCTTGAATTGCGTTCGAACGCTGCCCAACTGCGATACACTGGAATTCTGGAATGATCGATAATCAGCCGGGATTCGCGGTCCAGGGTGCACCTTTGTTTGCCGAGCATAGGATTAGACCACGCTCGACCGGGATGCGCTTGTTTTTGTCCCGTGGGATTCTGTGCCATCCAATTTTTATTCCACTTTCAACTTTGCTCACTTTGACGACGGATTTTGTAGGGCGATTTTTATGAATTTGTGATCAAAATGGCAGCTATGCATTGATTTCTTGGGGAAAGGAATTAATGGAGTTGGGACGTTTTCGAATTTAAATATTTAGTTAAGGTTGATCACTTTTTTAAGGTCGTTCACTTTTTAGTTACATTTGTAATTTTAAAACGGTTGTAGTATTTAAGTGAATTTGTTATTTAGCTACGTTTTCCAGCAAATGGAAAGTAGAGATTGATGTCAGGAATTCTTAGTCTTCTCTTTGTATGTGGTGCTGCATTTTCAAGGGTGTCTTCATTCTTCTGTAGACGAGGACGCTTGGCTATACAGGGTGTGCTGAAGTTGAGGTATACAAGGAATTTAGGAATGCAGGAGTTCAAGGACTTAGGAATTTATGAATTTGATACAAAGAAATTATAACTCTTCCTTTTTATAACCCTTCCCTTCTTTTTCTTTCTCAAACACACTCAATTTACAAGAAAGAAACAAATTTCTATAATATAAAACTTAAACCTCAAAAACTTGAAAGGTTCAATAAATCAAGCTTGCCTTGACAAAAGGTTACGAAAGAAAATTGTTTTACAAAATCAAGAAATGTTTCATAAAGTAACTCATAACATTTATTGTATAATCAAATATTTATTCCGAAATTTCGGTATTTGCGATACGTGACAAATCGAGAATACCAATTTGACTTTGAGATTAATTTTCGAGATTGGACACGAATGAGACGAACAGCTATTTTCGTCATGCATGATTCTATAAACCCACGAAGTTTTATTCAAACCGATGAATAAAGACTTATTTTCGTGTTTGTTCGAACAAAAACATTTTTTATTACTTTCCTACGTGGTTCAGTACAACACTGTAACATTTATGTGCTTAGGTACAAGATATACGTGCGTGCTTCACTTTATGTTTCATATTTTGGATACGTCGTTCCAATAAGATATTTATAGATTTCGTTTCGTAACATTTGACTTTATTTTTGTCGAAGTTACCGAGTTCATTGGAAAACTCCGCGGAGAGTTTTAAATAACGCGCGTTATTGAACTGTGGACTATTTAGGAGCAGACAATTTATAAAATTTTTACTGATTCCTCCGAAGATTATTTATTTTCAACTTCTATACATAAATATTCTACATATGATACATATCAATTTTATAAAATTTTGTGATTTACAAATTTACACATTCTTGTATTACTCCATTTTGATTTGACTTAAAACGAAGAAAGTTTCAGAACACAGTAATGTCCGCCATATTGTCCTATTATCTATATTTTGATATTGTCCTTACTTACAAATATTGTCGTTACTTTTAAATATTGTTCTTACTTCTAAATATTGTCTACATACATCGCTTACATTTCATACAACATTGTTTTTTTAATTTTAATTTTAATTTCAAGGAAGATATTAAAAAAAAGGTTTATAGAAAAACTTGCGAGACACCTTGTAGATCGCGTCACGGAATTCAAGCGAGAAGCGACCTTAAACCAGCTGCGTCACGTCGCCGGATCTCGGAGACACCTTTACCCTTGACCTTGCAGCTTTCTGTGTTGCTCTAGCAAAATACGGCTGCCTCGACATTCAAGCTCGCTACTTGCCAGCCTTTTCGATCATACTCGTGCGACCTACTACTAGCTGCTAGCTAACCTACCCTACTTACCTTTTCCACGTGTCGCGTGAGATACGCGATTGTACGTTTCACGAGTTTTTCTTTCGATCGGGCATACTATAACATTCTACCGTATTCTCCGATTGGACCTTTGATAATGATGCGAGTAAAATTTTTAATTTATGCAAGGAAGAGAGAGGGAGATTTGGAAAGTTGGGGTATTGGAGTTTTGGGAAGTTTAGAATATTGTATAATATGGGGATTTTAGGGATTTGAGGATTTAGAAATTTCAGTGTTTGGGAATTTAGAAAGTTGGACAATGTGGGAGTTGGACAAATTGGGAATTGGACAATGTAAGAGTTGGACAATGTGGGAATTGGACAATGTAGAAATTGGAGAATGTGGGAAATAGACAATGTGGGAATAGGACAATGTGGGAAATGGACAATGTGGGAATTGGACAATGTGGGAATTGGACAATGTGGGAATTGGACAATGTGGGAATTGGACAATGTGGGCATTGGACAATGTAGAAATTGGAGAATGTGGGAAATGGAAAATGTGGGAATAGGACAATGTGGGAAATGGACAATGTGGGAATAGGACAATGTGGGAGTTGGACAAGATGGGAATTGGACAATGTGGGTATTCGAGAATGTGGGAATTGGGCAAAGTGGAAATTGGACAATGTGGGAATTGGACAATGTGGGAATTGGATAATGTGGGAATTGGACAATGTGGGAATTGGACAATGTGGGAATTGGACAATGTGGGAATTGGACAATGTGGGAATTGGACAATGTGGGAATTGGACAATGTGGGAATTGGACAATGTGGGAATTGGAAAATTGGACAATGTGGGAATTGGAGGACAATGTGGGAATTGGACAATGTGAGAATTGGACAATGTGGGATTTGGACAAGATGGGAATTGGGGAATTTGAGAAATTGGAAATTTGTGATATTTACAAGTTAGTAAGTTGGAAATTTGGCAAATTGGTACTCTGAGAATTTACGAATTTGGGAGTTTGAGAATTTGGCAAGTTGACAAGTGGACAAGTTGGCAAGTTTCCAAGTTCACAAACTACAAACCTGTGAATTTACATAAAAAGGAATTAAAACATGCAAAGACTCTACTATATAAAAAACTGAAAAAATTTAGAAATTCTACAAATGTATATCTTGATAATTTGTAGACAACAACACTCTCCCATAACTTCATACAAAATACATCTCCTGAACGATGAATAATGCAGTTATATTCAATAACGACGTGTCCATGTAATTAAATAGACGTTACCTTTGGAAACCCGTTTGGTTCGCCAGCAAAATTGCTGATCCTTTTTTTTGTTGTTACAGGCTGTTCTTTTTGTCGGCGGTGGGATGATATAACGAGCTAGACTGTAATTATTGGATGTAAGCCGGCGTTTCAATTATATTTGTATTCACCGACGAAACTGGGATACGAAGTTTCTTTATTTATTATTATTTATGGTTTTGTTCAGGCAATTCATGCGAGAAATAATTTCATTCGTGAATGGTATTTATATACGTACAAAGAAACGTGATATGTAACACGTTCTCCATTTTCTTTCGTTGTTATTTTTTAATTAGTCCGTTCGTTATAATTAGTATCGTAATAAAAGGATTATTATATTATGAATTATCGCGCTACCAGAATGAAGTAATTCGTTTTCTTTATGTACACTGTACTTTTGTTCGTATATCATTGTCAAATTCACGGTGACATTTCAATTAATTTTATGTGTTCGCTAAATTTATGTGGACACATTTTTTCAACAGTTTTTCTTTCGTTTTAATTATTTATAAACAAAAAATGCATTAAATTTGAACGTGGATTAAGTACAGGGTGAATCATTTTTAGTGTATGTAACTGAAATTGTAGCTGACGTGATTCTGAATAAGATTTCCCTTTGCAGAAATGGGGTCTGAAGCTTCGTTTTTGAATTATCAAGCAAAAAGGCGGACCCATTAGAGCGCTGGATGACGTAGTAACCCAGCGTGTGGATATCCAACGCGTAGTAATCGAGCGCGTGGATATTCAACGTGTAGTATTCCAACGCGTAGTAATGCAACACGTGGAAATTCTACGCGTAGAAATCTAACGCGTAGTAATTCTACGCGTGGGAGTTTAACGCGTGGTAATTCTACGCATGGGAAACTAACGCGTAGTTAACCAACGCGTAGTAATGCAACGCGTGGTAATTCTACGCATGGGAGTTTAACGCGTGGTAATTCTACGCATGGGAATCTAACGCGTGGTAATCTAACGCGTAGTAATGCAACGCGTGGTAATTCTACGCGTCGGAGATTAACGCGTGGTAATTCTACGCGTGGGAATCTAACGTGTGGTAATTCTACTCGTGGGAGTCTAACGCGTGGTAATTTTACGCGTGGGAGTCTAACGCGTGGTAATTCTACGCGTGGGAGTCTAACGCGTTATAATTCTACGTGTGGGAATCTAACGCGTGGTAATCTAACGCGTAGTTAAGCAACGCGTAGTAATGCAACGCGTGGTAATTCTACGGGTGGGAGTCTAACGCGTAGTAATTCTACGCGTAGGAATCTAACGCGTGGTAATCTAACGCATAGTTAACCAACGCGTAATAATCCAGCGCGTGGTAATCTAACGCGTAGTTAACCAACGCGTAATAACCCAGCGCGTGGTAATCTAACGCGTAGCAATCAGAGCGCGAGAATACTCACTTCAATGGAATCAAATATTTATTGTAACGAATTTAATTGTCGTTAAAAATTGTTACCAACAACTCAATAAACGTAATGAAACATTTCCATCAAAGATTAAACAATAAGCGTATTTAAAATTCAGCATATTCTGTAACGAAAGAAATGTCCGTAATCTCCCGATGGGAAAATAAGAGCCCGATACCGTCGGCCAATTATCAAATGAACGA